AGCTATCTGCAGGCCTGCACTTTCTCTGGAGACTCTAGGAAAGATTCCATTTCTTGCCTCTTCCAGTTTCTGTTTGCTGTTATCATTCTTTGGCTTGTGGCAACATCTCTCCAGTCTATTCCACTTTCACATTTCCTCTTTGCTTCTCTTCTAAGAACACTTCTGGATTTGGGTAATATTTAGGTAATCCAAAATATCTCCTTGTTTTAAGATCCTTAATTCACTTACATCTATAAAACCCTTTTACAAATAAGGTAACATTCATAGTCTCTAAGAATTAGGACATTGGTATATATTTTAGAAGGTCATTTTAACCCACATTTTTCTTTTTATGGTTTTTGATAATGTGAATATTTTGTGTGTTTTTTTTATATCTAATCATTTTACATAGAAATAAAATAAATACAATTGATTTTTGTATGTTGACCTTTTATCATAAGACTGATAAATTTACTAACTAGTTCTGCTATGCATCCTGAGTTTCTTCAGAATAATGTTTGTAAATAGTTTGGTCTCTTGTGAATAAATACAGTTTTATTTCTAGCTTTTGTAACTTTATGATTTTTTTTTGCCTTATTACACTTGACTACATACTCCAGTAAAATTGTGAATAGAAGTAGTAAAAGTTAACATACATTTTATTTCCAGTTACAATGGAAAATTTTTTAATATTGTACCAGGTATGTTATTAGTTGTTGTAATTTATTTAAATGCCCTTTATGTTAAGAAATTTCCAATGTGTTATGAGAAAAGTCATGAAAAAAGATACCAAGTAGTAACTCTAAATAATGAAATAATTTTTTAAATGCTGGTAAGCATTTAATTTCCTTGTATGCTTATGGTAAACATGCAAATACATACAGTTTTTGTGTAAAACAACTTGACAACAATATTTTATATACTTTTGCACAATAATTTCAATTAAGTAAAAAATGATGCAGAGAATATACTTCTATGGGATAGATAAAAGTCAAATTAAGATATTTTAAGAATAGGTAAGAGATAAGATAATGAAGGGAGCAGAAAATGAACACCCCTTTGAGATTTCTGAAAGAAAGATAACAATGCAGTCTCAGTGTTTCAAACTACTCAAAAAGACTTCATGATATTGCCAATGTCTTAAATACTCTCTGCCCCCTCACATTTTATACCTTTAATTCAAATGTCACCTCCCAAATCTAAATGAATAATTCTCATTTACATGTGGGCTGCAGGCATTTTATTCCACATTGTAGTTTTGTTAACAGCTAGCTCTACCACTGTGGGAGTTTGTAGAATAAAGTGGCAAAGTGTATGCTTTCTGAAACTTAACTAGCTGAATTCTATTTTATTTTTTCAGAAGCTTAGAATAATATTTCAAAACTTAAACAAGTCAGCTATGTATTTGCTATATAGCACATACCTCCAAATTCAAATAGAACAAGGATGCAAATAATCTTAATATATTCAATATGCTTACATGCTGATAAGTTATGGCCATTGTTAGTGATGGTTTTAGATGTTTCCTTAGAAATCAGTCATTTTCAAATATTAAATGCTTTATCTCTGCGTAATTAGATAGGTTTAATTCAAATTTAGGAAATAATTTAAAACTTTTCAGAATTATTACAAAATAAGCTCTGACTTGACAAACACAATTCCAAAAAAAATTTTAAGTAGAAAACCTTTCAGTTAAATCAAGACTTATATACTCCTTTACAAAATATCAAATAACATCCCTAGTGCTTTATAGGTATTTTAGTGGATCCACTGTCTCACTCAGAAATCTGCTATTTCTATTGCATAAGCCACCTTTGAAAATGATTTAATGCTTCAGCAGGTTTTGAATGTTTTTAAGTGATTTTCCAAATTTGGCAAGACCTACATGTCCATCTGTAGACCGATTCCTATGTGCATATGTACATTGTTCAATGTGAGCCATAATGTGCACAAAAATATTCAACTTAATTAGAACTCTCAGAATCTTTGAAATTAGAAAGAGACACTGGGAAAACATTAATTAGAGTCAACTGAGACTGAGAATATCTGCTGTTAGTTAGCTCAAATTGTTTCTGTTGTTTTCACCACATATATTGTACTAAGTTAATCTGAAACTGCTGAGGCCACCATCAGGTTAAGGTAACTGGGAAGCTTTGTTCTGATCCCTAGTCCCCATACTCGGGAATTCTAACTGGATTGTTCTGGGGAATATCCCAAGTCTGAGTAAATGATTAATTCAAATGTGTACTCCAGGTTAAGACTGTGGGTGTAGATGAGCTGCACTAATTTAGCCTTCAAGTCCAATTCTGACTTTCCTCAAAGACCTTATAGTAGGCAAAATTTGTAAATTATGTTCCAAAAATATCACACCCTAAACCCTAGAAACTGAGAATATGGTGAAATATCACGCTGGAATTTATGTTACATTAAATTGTGGCTCAGTTGGCCTTAAGAGGATCTGGTAGGCTTCATTTGGTCATGTGAGCTCTTAAAAGCAGAGAAGTATCTCCATCTGGTGATGGAGAAGGACCAGTCAAACAGATCGTAAGCATGGGGATGCTCTAATGTATTTTTCTTGTTTGTTTTTTTTTGATGGAAGGTGCACCATGAAAAGGACTGAGCCATGGCCTTTCGAAGAGGAGAGCACCCCCTGACTGAGAGCCAGTAATGAAAGGGGGCGCTCAGTAATAAAACCCCAGGAACTAGATTCTACCAACAACTTGAATGAGCTTGGAAGCAAATTTCCCCCAGATACTCCAGATAAGATTTCAGCCTAGTTGAAATTCTGAATCCGATATTATGAGATCTTCAGCAGAGAACAATCAAGCCCACCAGGACTGCTGACCTACAGAAATGTGAGCTAATTAATAGGTGCCGTTTTAAGCCACTACGTTAGTTGTGATTTGTTACTCAGAAATATAAAACGCAGATGATCTCAATAAAACTCTTTAAACCAGATAGCCAGGCCTCTTATTCATGTTTTAATAAAGCAGTGCTCAAAACTTAATTCCTAGGCCAAATATTTCCAACTATCCTGTATCTCAATCATGACCTTTGTTCATCCACTACCTCCCAATATTCTCTGCTTACAATAATTTATACTACTCTTTCAGTGAGTTAATCATGCACTAATAAAAAACAAATTCCTATTCCTTCTCTCATGACTAAAAACTACTTCTTCCCTAAAACACCTTTTCCTTGTCAAACCCCCACCCTGCCTCAAACGATGCTCCCCATTATTGCTTCTAAACTAATTGTCACCACCTTCTAGGAAAATCAATAAAAAACAACACAATAAAATACATATGAGGTCTTGTGGTCTCTGCCATTGTTTAAACTCTCTCCCCCACCACACCTAATAATTGACATACTTTAAATTTTTAGAAACTATCTCTCAAAAAAGACATTGGTCATTTCTTTGATTGGCTTTATGTACTGTGCATATAACTTTTCTTCTGATGCCTTTGTTCAAGAGTTTCTTAAACTCCTGAGGAAGTTAAGAGATATGTTTTTCTTAATGCCTCCTCAGCAACAGGAACTTTTGATTCTGCTGTCATCAAATCTCTGCAATGAACAATTCAAACCTGCCTCTTTAGGAAAAACATAGTAACTCCTTAATCACAAATAAAATCATAATAAGGTTTTCTTCTTATTAGGACATCCAGTTCAAGGGTCCTCCTTCCTTCTGTAAATCTTTCTTCATTCATTTTCTTTTTTAAAATATATTTTTATGTTGCTAGTATTGCAGATATCTCCCATTTTCTTTCCCTTTCTCTCCCTCCTACCAGCCCCTCCTCCCTCCCCAGGTCTTCACTACCCTATTGCCCATGTCCATGGGCTATGCATGTAAGTATATCAATTCTTTGATTTATCTCTTCTCATCCCCCACCCCACATGGAGGTATGTTAGTCTGCTCCATGTATTCCTGCTTTGGGTCTTATTTTGTTGGTTAATTCATTTTTTTCATTAGGCTCCACAATAAGTGAGATCATGTGGTATTTGTCTTTCTCAGTTTGGCTTATTTCACTTAACATAATATTGTCCAGGTCCATCTATGCTGTCCCAAGTAGTAAGAGATTTATTTATTTTCTTACCCAGCAAAAAGTTCATAGCACATTCATTTATTAAAAACATAAATTCCTGGCATTGCATAGCAAAACACTAAGCATGGAAGAATCTATAATTTATTTTTGTGCATTGTTAGAGTCATAATAAAGGGCATGTTGCAAACATGATAAATTCAGGCTCAAGAGGCTTAAATATGGCCCAGCTGGCATGGCTCAGTGGTTGAACATCAACTTATGAACCATGAGGTCATGATTCAATTTCCAGTCAGGGCACATGCCCAGGTTGCACACTTGACCCCCAGTAGGGAGCATGTGGGAGGCAGCCTATCAATGATTCTCTCTCATCACTGACGTTTCTATCTCTCTCTCCCTTCCTCTCTGAAATTAATAAAACATATTTTTTTAAAAAAAGAACTTTAAATATGAATGCTTTGCTGTCTCATATGTATATACGAGAGGCCCAGTGCACAAAATTTGTGCACTCAGGTGGGAGGGAAGGTCCCTCAGCCCGGCCTGTGCCCTCTCGCAGTCTGGGACCCCTCGGGAGATAACGCCCTGCTGGCTCAGGCCTGCTCCCTGGTGGCAGAGGGCAGGCCCAATCCCTAGGTGCAGCCCCTGGTTGGGCTCAGAGCAGG